AAACCCTGTACAGGGTCGCTATGGGTTGGAACCGACTTGATGGCACTTAACAACAACAACAACAACAACAGGGAAGACCAGTTAATACAACTATAATTCAAATTTATGCACCAATCATTAAAGCCAGTGATGATAAAACTGAATAATTCTACCAACTTCTTAGTATGAAATTTATCAAACTTGCAATCAAGATATATTGATAATTATTTGTGATTGGAATGCAAAAATTTAGGAACAAAGAGGAAGGATCAGAATTGGAAAATATGGCCTTAGTGACAGAAATGATGCTGGAGATCGCTTGATAAGATTTTGCAAGACCAATGACTTACTCATTGCAAATACCTTTTTAAACAACATAAAGGGTGACTGTATATATGGACCTCATCAGAGGAATGGAATAGACAAAAATGTAACTGAATACATTTGTGGTAAGAGATGGTGGAAAAACTCAGTGTCATCAGTCAAAATGAGTCTCAGGGCAGACTGTGGAATAGACCATCAATTGCCCATATGCAATTTCAGGATGAAAATAATTCAGACAAGTTCACAAGAGCCAAAATATGACTTTGAATATATCCTAACTGTACTTAGAGACTATCTTGTGAACATCTTTGATGCATTAGACATTAATGATCAAAGACCAGAAGAGTTGTGGGATGGCAGCAAGAACATCACACAGGAAGAAAGCACAGGGTCATTAAAATGAAAGGAAATAAAGGAACATCAAAATGGATGTTAGAGGACACTTGGAAATCCGCTGTCCAGCATAGAGAAGAAATGTAACTGAAAAATTCAAAGGGCAGCTCAATAAGACAAAGTCAAGTATTGTAGTGAAATGTGTTAATACATGGAATTAGAAAACCAACAGGGAAGAACATGCTCAGCATTCTGAAGATGAAAGAACTGAATTAAAATTCAACCCTTGACTCACAACATTGAAAGGTTCTGTGGGCAAAATATTGAATGACACAAAGCATCAAAAGGAGATAGAAGGTATACATAGGGTGACTATACTAAAAAGAAGTGGTCAGTTTTCAACCATTTCATGATGTAGTATATGATCAAGAACCATTGGCACTGATGGAAGAAGTCCAGGCATCACTGAAGGCATTGGCAAAAAACAAGGCTCCAGGAATTGAAGGAATATATATTGCAGTCCTTCAACAAACTGATGAAACACTGAAGGGCCTCAATTATTTATGTCAAGAAATATGGAAGACAGCTACCTGACCAACCTATTAGAAGAGATATATATTTATGCCCATTCCAAAGCAAAGTGACTTAATGGAATGTAGAAATCATTGAACAATATCATTATTTTCACACAGAAGTAAAATTTTGCTGAAGATAATTTCAAAACTGCAACAGTGCATCAACAGAGAACTGCAAGGAATTCAAGATGGATTCAGAAGAGGACATGACATAAGAGATATCAATACTGATGTCAGATGGATCTTGACTGAAAGCATGCCATACCAGAAATATGTTTACTTGTGTTTTATCTATTATGCAAAGGCTTTTGACTGTGTGGATCATCACACACTCTGAAAAACTTTCCGAAGAATGGGTATTCCAGAATACTTCATTGTGTTCATGAGAAAACCGTATATAGATCAAAATGCAGTTATCCAAAAAGAACAAGGGGACACTGAACAATTCAAAATCAGGAAAGGTGTTTGCCGAGACTATATTCTTTCATCACACTTATTCAGTCTGAACATTGAGCACATAATATCCTAGAAGCTGGATCATATGAATAAGCCCGTTGCATTAGGATTGGAGGAAGTATCATTAACAACTTCAACATGCAGATGATACAACCTTGCTTGCTGGAAGTAAAGAGGTCTTAAATACTTACTGATGAAGATCAATGACTATAGCATGCACTATGGATTGTACCTCAGTGTAAAGAAAACAAAAAATCCTCACAACTGATCAGTAAATAACATCATGATAAATGGAAAAAAGATTGATATTGTCAAAGACTTAATTTTGCTTGTATCCACATTTTGCTTGTTTCCAATACTCATGGAAAAAGCCTTCAAGAAATCAAATGATGTATTGCATTAGATAAATCTACTGCACAAGACCTCATTAAAGTGTTCAAGAGCAAATATATCAATTTGGGGACTAAGGTATGTCTAACTTAAGCCTTGGTATTTTCAATCATCTCATCTGCATGTGAAAGTTGGATAATGAATAAGGAAGACCATAAAAGAATTGATGTGTTTGAGTCATGTTTGGAGAAGAATATTGAAAGTACCATGGACTACCAGAAGAACAAACAAATCTGCTTTGGAAGAAGTACAGTTAGAATGCTCCTTAGAAGACAGAATGGCAACACTTCATCTCTTACACTTCAGGCATATTATCAGGAAGGAGCGGTCCCTGGAGAACCTTATGCTTGGTAAAGTGGAGAGGTCAGTGTAAAAGAAGAATACCCTCAACAAGATACAGTGGCAGCAGCAATGGGCTCGAGTGTAACAACATTCGTAAGGATGTTGGAGGATCGGGCAGTGTTTTATACTGTTGTGCGTAGGGCGGATCACTGTGAGTTGGAACAAACTTGATGGCACCTAACAACTACATAATGGAAAACAGGCAAGAGGAAAAGGAGTTGAAAAATACCTCTGGGTATCTTGTGAGCATTCAAGCAGTTCATATTTCTCTAACGGGGCAAATAAAATAAAGGGTGGCACTGTAGGATAAGCACTGGACTGCTAACCACAAGATTGGCAATTCAAACCCACCAGCCACTCCTCAGAAATCCTATACAGAGTTGCTATGAGTTGGGAAGGATGCAGAATTGCTATGAGTTGGGAAGGATGCAGAATTGCTATGAGTTGGGAAGGACGCCAGAGCAACTTAACAACAACAAAAAAAATTGTATATAAAATTTATGTAAAATACTCACATAAATATATCAGTTGATATTTTGTGTCAGTTGGTCTTTAATAGGAGGCTTAGTGTCACAGTGGTTAATGTATTCAGTTCCCAACCAAAAAAGATTGACAGATCGAACCTACCATGTGTAATGTGGTCATCTGCTTTTGTAAAGATGTACAGCTTTGGAAACACTGTGGGGCAGTTGTTGTAGAAACAACTGTGAAGAGGGTGGCTATAATTCGTAATATACTGAATGCTGATGGGCTTAGTTTTGCTTTAGCTATACACACACACACACACACACACATCTGAAGAAAAGATTTAATAATCAGAGGCAGCTGTGGTTTTTTTGTGTGTGTATACACACAAATGATTTATATGTGAAGAAAATTTTGAAATAGCATTATAATTTGCTATGCTAAGAGGTATTATTTATCTTCTATTGAAACTTAATAAGGAGCTCTGGTAGCATAGTAGTTAGGAATCAGGCTGCTAATTTCATGGTCAGGAGTTCAAAACTACCAGCCGTTCCATGGGAGAAAGATGAGGCTTTCTGCTCCATAAAGATTTACAGCCTCGGAAACCCCGTACAGGGTCACTACGAGTCAGAACCAACTCCACAGCACATAACAACAACAACAACATTGAAATTTAATAAGCTATTTTTTCAAACTTTAAAGTTTCTTATGATAATAAAATGCATTACTTTCATGATTATATATTGTGTTATAACCAATAGTTTAAAACTTACTATGTGACTTTTTTTTTTTTTTTTTAGAGGATGTGTTGGGAATTATTGAGAATGAAGGCTTTAAAATACTCATGAAAAGACAACTAGTATTATCAAAAGAAGAAGCCCAAATAGTCTGCAAGGAATATGAAAATGAACATTATTTTGAGAATCTTATAGAAAATATGACCAGGTGATATGGAGATCAGGTTTAGAAAGCAGTCTGATTTATTTCTGAATCATTTAAATCTTCCTTTAACCTTGTATTCTGTTCAAGTTGGCAAGCTCTTCAATTCTGTGAGCATGTCCTGAGTCTACCTCTTTAATAGCCCCACCCCAACTTGATTCTCTGCTCAACTGGACGGCTTTTCTAGTGCTCCTGGAATGTGACTGGAACAATGGAAAGGTCTGGTGTGAAGTAGCTGGAGCCCATTTAAATTGAATGGTAGAAATCCAGGGTTTGCAACATTATGAAGTTCAAGAAGAGAACTGACTGTCTCTCAAGTGCTTTGTTATTTCTAAAGTCCTTGAGGTTTCCAGAATAATAACTGAAATAGCCACTGAGGCAGAAATCCAGCAAGGAGGTTTCAGTCAGAAAGAGTATGGGAACAACGCCCTTTTACTAATACACTCTTGCATGGACACCAGTGAAAGTAAAATTATAGACTGCTGATAAAAGGATTTTTTTGACATATTTTATGTCTACTTAAAAACAGGCATTTGTATTACCTATATATAATTAGCTACTTAGCCAGACTTCCATAAACTTTTTTTTTTTTCCTTTTTGAACAGTGGTCCATCTCTAGCCCTTGTTTTACTAGGAGACAATGGATTGGAACACTGGAAAGATTTAATAGGACCAAAGTCTGTTGAAGAAGCCAGGACACGTGCTCCAGAGAGGTAGGGTTTGCATCACGGATCCTCAACTTTATCCATGAGAATGATCTAAACTTCTTTGTGAGTATGGAATATAGGAACCACAGTTTTAGTACAAGGAAGCTTTTCAGGTAAGCTAACTTTTCTATGGAATGAGTAAACTGCTTCTGGCTAGAGACCTTGCCTAATGTCAGCTTGAACATGCCAAGATTTTTCAAGAGAAGGTTGTGGGGGGCTTGGCTTGGGGCTAGAAAGTAAGTGAAGGTTTACCTTCACTTAAGGTCATCAGCTGGAGAAATACCCAGCCAATTTCTGCTCCTTAGTAGAAATTCTTTTGAGAAAGGATAGTGGCAGCAGTTTCATGTCCTATATTTTCTCATATGAGTTGCAAAACAATGTTGTGTAGTCTACAATTTGGGGAGAGCATTTATTGACTTAGTTTACTGATGAATCTTAAAAAATTAGCTAAATTTTGTAACTAACTATACACCTGGGACGTTACCTGGCATGTATGCTGTTGTTGTTGAGTGCTGTCAAGTCAGTTTCGACCCATAGTGACCCTGCTTCCGAGGAGCAGCTGGTGAGCTTGAACCACTGACCTTGGCACACATAGGGCACTCTTTAACTATCTTTTGAGCATAGATGTTGGACTTGCTCCCATCTGGAGGATGGAATGTCTCGCATGTACTTCTGTGCCCATCAAGCTGATGGAAAGAAAACTGAATGACAATTTGATTGAATTATTTATGCTAATTTTAGGTTAAGATTTGATTCAGGGAGAAAAAGGCTCCCTCTTCAAGAGGGCAAGAATGAAGATGCTGTATGTGGGTTGATAGAGACGGGCAACGTAGACACTGGTTGGCTACCTAAAATGAGGGAGCTGTAAAGGTATGAAGTGACTGGCTTACAAGTTTAGTTTCAGAGTGTACAGGGAAAGTAGAATCCCCACTGAATAGTTTTTACTTTGTCTAGATGGGTCTGGTGAAAGGAGTTGGGGATAAGATTCTTATGATTCAATATTGAGTAATTGTTATCATGACTAATTGCTAATGTCATAACTGTAAACGTAGAACTTTTGTAAAAAAAAGTCAGGAGTAGTTAATCTTACAATCCAGGAAGAGAGGAAGCTAGGGCCATCAAGGGAGAAGAGCACAAGTGGAATGTGGGACCCTATCCAGAGAAGCAGTGACACAAGAGATGGAGGCAGAGATGATGATGGAGAGAGAGAACAGCTGAGGATTCTAGACTCGTGGAAAGAGAAAGGCTGTGTGTTGGCAGAATGTGCTCTTTGGTTGTTTAAATGATTATATATTCCTGAGTGTTTTTGTGTACATAAAAACAAAACAAAACAAAACAAAAAAAAACCCAAAAACCAAGAAAACCAACAACAGAGGGAATAAAAGCAAATACTGTTGAATGATGATGCATGGAGGGGATTGCAATCACTGCAATGAAACGAAATATGATGAGTGTAAAATCGATGTTCTCCCATGTAAACTATCAGTCAATTCACAATAAAAACAAAAACAAAGAAAAGATGCTGTATGTGGTGGCTCTGTATGATAAACACTGGACTGCAAACCACAAGGTCAGTAGTTTGAGCCCACCAGCCACTCTGTAGGAGAAAGATGAGGCTTTCTACCTCTCCAAATATTTACAGCCTTGGAAACACTATAGAGGGTCACTGAGTTGGAACTGAATCAACAGCACTTAATAATAACAGCAAATATGGCACTGTAAGCTTGTTATTACATGCCATCAAGTCGGTTCCAATTCATAGTGACTCTGTGTAGTATTTTTGAAGCTGTAAATTTTTGTGGGAGCGGAAAGCCTCATCTTTCTCCTGAGGAGTGGCTGGTGGGCTCAAACCACTAACTTTGTGGTTCGCAGTTCAATGCTTATCCTACAGAGCTACCACGCTTCCCTAATATAT